CTCAATATGCAGAAGCTAATAGGGAACAAAACACAAAGTTCCCTTCATCCTTGACTCCGAGTCTCCTCCCCTCGAGGCCACCACCGCCAGCATGGCAGCGTTCTCCAGGCCTCCCTGTGCACACACATGGGTGTGGGTGTGTATATGGCCTTCAGTGATATTTTATGTTATTGACTATACATGTCAATAGCAATAATACATCTAGAACTACATATTGTTCTCTGATTTTATTTTTTTCACCCCAAAATTCATTCGTTCATTGAACACATATTTGTTGAGTGCTAAACATTCTCAAAGTGCTAGAGATACAGCAGTGAACAAAATGGACACACAAAACTCCTTGCCTTCACAGAGCTAAAATTCTAATACACGGCCAGGTATGGCCTGTGGGCCAAATCCAACCAGGAGCCTGTTTTTGTCCAACTCGAGTTTTTTATATTTTTGAAGGGTGATTTAAAAAAATAAAAATGGGGTGCCTGGCTGGCTCAATCAGTGGAGTGTGTGACTCTTGATCTCGGGGTTATAAGTTCGAGGCCCACGTTGGGTGTAGAGGTTACTTAAAAATAAAATCTGTAAAAACAATTTAAAAAATTAAAATGAAGGATATGCGACAAAGATGTATGTGGCCAGCAAAGCCTAAAATATTTACTAGCTGGCCCTTTACAGAAAAAGTGAGCTGACCACTATAAATCTGTGGATGATATCTTAAAGATTTGTCCATGTTATTAAGTCTCCCTCATTTTATTTCTTTTTTTTTTTTTAAGATTTATTTATTTATTTATTTGACAGAGAGAGACACAGTGAGAGAGGGAATACAAGCAGGGGGAGTGGGAGAGGGAGAAGCAGGCATCCCACCGAGTGGGGAGCCCGATGTGGGGCTCGATCCCAGGACCCTGGGATCATGACCTGAGCCGAAGGCAGACGCTTAATGACTGAGCCACTCAGGCACCCCCTCATTTTATTTCTAACAGCTGTATAGAATTCATAAAATGGCTATTCCATAATTTATTTCATTATCCCCCTATTAGTGGATATTTACGTTTTTCCAACAGCTTTGCTATTACAAACAGTGCTAGCCCAAACATCCCTTGTGTACATGTGTGGGTGATTCTGCAGGATACATCCCTGGAAGTGGGATTGAAATTGGGTTAGAAAATGCATACTCTTATTAAATTTTTTTATTAATATTTATATTACTCGGGAAGTGAAATATTTACACGCAAAGGGTAGTATACCATACAGGTTTCTCAGCTTTGTCTCTATTTCAACTGTCCTACCTATTTTATAAAATCTACCTTTATTGAGCACTTTGTGTCAGATACTGTCTTTACCACTTTTTATGCACTATCTCATTTATCCTTAACAAGCTTCTAAGTATTGATACTGTTTGTTTCACAGATGAAGAAACCGAGTCTCAAGGAAATTACTGCCCAGGTTGACACCATCTACTAAGAGGCAGGAACCAGAATTTTTTTTTTTTAAGATTTTATTTATTTATTTGACAGAGAGAGAGACAGCGAGAGAGGGAACACAAGGGGAGTGGGAGAGGGAGAAGTAGGCTTCCCGCTGAGCAGGGAGCCTGATGCGGGGCTCGACCCAGGACGCTGGGATCACGACCTGAGCCGAAGGCAGACGCTCAATGACTGAGCCACCCAGGCGCCCCAGAACCAGAATGTAAACCTAATTCCAAAACCAAGTTCTTAACCACAGTGCTATTCTGCTCCCCCCAGAGCATGACCTGTCCTGATTTTTGTTTCGGAAAATATGGTCACCATAACAGTTCATATGTGTGGTAAACTACCCCAGGTCATTTTTTGAAAAAGAGTAGAGCTCTGGAATAACAGTCACCAGTCTGACCAGTTGCCAGAGTGCTGTGCTTTGAGAAAGGAAGGGGCAGGAAGTGTGCTAAACCTCTGGGATTTGGTCCCATCCCCTGGCCTCCTGGGCTCAGCTCCGCTTGCTGTGAAGAGGTTGGCAAGCCCTCTGCATTCACCAGGCTGGGACGAGGTCTTGGTGAGAGATGCTCAGGGGCTGAGAGATGCTCTGAAACCAAATGAGAAAAGTTCCTCCCACTAGGCTAACGTCTGTGACTTCATCCCTTCCAGTATGCAGCTGACCCCCAGGACAAGCACTGGCTGGCTGAGCAGCATCACATGCGGGCAACAGGGGGGAAGATGGTAAGCACTGTTCACACAGGCCCAGCCAGAGACCCACCCAGCCCAGGGGCCAAGGGTCCGGCTATTGGTGGCAGTTCCCTCCATATCTGAGACTCTCAAAGCCTGATGAATGTGGACAGGGAGACTTGCCAGGGTCGAGGGGGCCCATTCCTTCCCACTGAAGACCAGACTTAATCCCTGGATTCCCTTCCCACACACCACTCCCTCACTCCCTCCTTCACCATCCTTATTCAGATTATATTAGCTGGGCATAAGAATGGCAGGTGCACGGCACACGTAACACTACTTTTGCCTCATGTGCCCATTGAAGATGGCTCTCACGGATCACCGCCTCTTCCACCAGACACAGCTGTAGGATCTCCCCAACACAGCGCTCCAGGCAGCACCTCCTGTCAGTAGGAGTTAGCACATGCAGTGAAACCTGTTTGCCACGCCTAGCAGCCCCTTCCGGAATCACCTCTGCTTAAAGAGTTCTTAGCTCATCAAGCAACGACCTTGGGAAAACCATCGTTGCATGTGTTCTGAAACTAGCAGGGCTTTGTCCATCACCTGCGGACTCAGTCCCACTGCGGGGACTGCTCCTGTGAGAATTCAGTGGCCTTGCAAACCAGTATACCATCTCTCTTCTGGCAAGGAAACTATCTTCTGTTTTACTACTCTACTTATTCCTACACCCTGTTTAAGAAGATTTGAGGGAACTTACCACATACATAAAATGCAACATAACGTAAATAAGAAATAGATGGGGAGAGGAAAGACAGGATCTAACATTAAGCCATGAACAAGACTAGCTTTGAAAGGAGTGTTTTTTTTAATAGCTGACCTGGGAAACTAGCACACTTCCATGGGTTTTTGCAAATTCAGTGCTAGGCCCTTCTCAGGGACATCTCATTGGTTACATAGTTCACAGTGCTCATAAGATGACAGATTACTCAGGGGACACACACAGATTACTCCTGACCCTAAGACTAGAAAGAACTGTCTCCCCCAGAAGACTTTCCCATGTGATGAATGACATCCCCTGTGTGGTAAGCACACGAGAGGGCTCTCTACCCTTGCAGACCATGGCATTGTGTCACAGCCGAGCTGCAGGCCCCTGGTAGGGGACAGCAGTGCAGCTTCTCACGTTTGCCCTTCTGCCACAAAGTTCAAACCCAGATCATCTCAGTTCCTAGAGTTAACATTACAGCTTCCTCCTCCTGATTCCGTTTCCATGTGTGTTTTGCTAGCTCTCTTGCGATTTCATTTTAAGCACCCAGAGTCCTTTTTTAAAAGAGGAGGAGGCTGTAAGTCACCCATCTCCACTCCCTAACCCATAAAGTTTCTATTTGAGTGAAAGGTTGTCTCATGGAGCTATTTTCCGGTCTCTCCCTACTCACTCTCCTAAACTGTAAATTATGCCCCTCTCCCTTCCAGCCCTTACATTAAGTTTAATGTTTAATAGTATTTTGTTTAATAGTATTGTTGAGTTGAAATGAATCAGAGGCAGTGATCACTCTCCTTTGCTCCTGCCCCAGGCCTACCTCCTCATCGAGGAGGACATCCGGGACCTCGCAGCCAGTGATGACTACAGGTAAAACCAGTCATCTGTCCCCTGTCCCCCCCACACACACACTGGCCCCTTGGGGTGAACCTGGGCCTGCACCCTCCTTGCTTCAACTATCCTCCTCAATGTCTGTTCCAGAGGATGTCTGGACCTGAAGTTGGAGGAGCTGAAATCCTTTGTGCTACCCTCCTGGATGGTCGAGAAGATGCGAAAATACATGGAGACACTACGGACAGAGAACGAGCATCGTGCTGTTGAAGCACCTCCACAGACCTGACCAAAGCCAAGTCCCCTGGCTACACTTGGCAGCCCTCTTCCAAGGCCCTGTCACCCACTGAGGCCACTGCTGGGACTGCTTCTGGATGGATCTCAGCGGCATTAAGCTGTGCCTGGGCTAGTCTGTAGTGACTCACTACAGAGCACCCCCAGACTGGCACGTGGTTCTATATTTGTAAAGTTATCGGGTTAAAAAGCAATTAAACAGTTTGTAATAAACACAGTGAGCTAGCTGTGCGGTCTGTTGTAGGGGCTGACAAAATACCAAAGGATCTAGACGTGGGTGTAGGAAAGAAGGGCCGGGTACCCCTCCCCCATCGCAGGTGGGACCCAGTAAGGTCCCACCGCCCCGTGCATATCTGCTTTACGAGACAAAGCTGGGAACACCGTGTACCCTGCGAACCTTCCCTGTTTCTTACTTCTTCATCCCCTAAGGTACAGAAGTGGCAGGACGTGTTGGCTGGCACCATGGGGGTTGACGACAGACCAGAAGAAAAGTGCGGAGAGCCTTTTATTACCCCCGTCTTACAGGTGAAAAGACTAAATGCCGTGTCCGAGGTCACACAGCAAACCGTTGGAGAGGCAGCTGTAGGAGCCTGTTTCCAACAGTCTCCTGCTCTGGCCATCATACCCCTCCCATGAAGTCCCTACAGAGGTGTCCGGGACATTAAAATATGTGGAGGAGCAGGGGTTTCCGGGTTCAGGGGAGGGCACCGATGTCGCCAGACCGGAGACGTTCCCTTCCCCTGGGAGTAGGGATCCGGCTGCTCGCTCTGGTAGCCAGGCCTGGGACCTGAAAGGGTTCATCCCACGTGGACTTTTTCTCGGCCCTTTAATGGTCGGCGTTTTCCAAAGGCCACCAATCCGCTGCAGATTCGTTAGTTAATGACAGTCTCTTCTGCCAATCGCCCTTCCGAAGCGCGTTTCCACCGCCCAATACTGGTGCGCTGGGGGGTGGGTCTAGCAGTTGCGCGGTGACACGGCGCTCTGGCGCGTCCCATTGGCTGGGTCAAACCCAAGCGAGCCGCTGATTGGCCGGTGCCGCCGGAGGGTTACAATTCAAACGCGGGCGGGCGGGCCGCCGGCCCTGCAGTTGCAGTAGTGCTCTCGGAGTTCCTGTCTCCCTCCCAGCGCCGCCCGGGATGGCCTCCCAGAACCGCGACCCAGCTGCCGCCAGCGTCGCCGCCGCCCGCAAAGGAGCCGAGCCCAGCGGGGGCGCCGCCCGGGGCCCCGTGGGCAAGAGGTGAGGAGTGTGGAGTAACACTGGCCGGGCCCGGCACGCCCTGGGCCTTGGGGTCCAGAGCTCGGACTTCCGGGCCCCCACCTCCTCCTGGAGCGGGTAAATGTGCGGGAGCGGGAGGGCACGCCGGGAGCTCGGGCTGCCCTTAGAGGGCCCCCCCGAAGGAGGACAGAAGGGGGAGGCACGCCGCCAGGATCCTCCGCGGGTGAGCCAAGATGAAAGTGTGCCTGGGACCCTCGGTGGCTCGGCGAGATAGGGAGGGGGAGTGGGGACGGAAGCGAGGAGAAACTGGGATCCGGCACAGGGAGGGAGACGTCTGAGAAGCCGAGGGGCTTAAGCACAAGGCAGAACCGTCCTGCCAGAGCCTGGAATTAGGAAGGGTGAGGACTCACTGGGACTCTCCGGTGGAAATGGGAGCGAGTGTGTCCCAGCTGAGTCTGGCCTCAGGGTAGGGGAGGCCTCCATGACAGCTCCCCCAGGGACTCTGGGGTGAGGGCAGAAGCACGGTGTGGAGCCCTGGCCCATCCGGACTCCCGGGTGACTCCCAACGCTTATGTTGCAGGCTACAGCAGGAGCTGATGACCCTCATGGTGAGTGACTACCTGCCCAGACCCCCAGGCCAATTGATCCACCCTCCACCTCCCCACTCACTTATCTGTAGCCTCCTTTCCTACATCAGGCTCTTTGCTAGAAACAGCACGGGATAAAAAGATGAGTCAGCTTTCCTCTCTTCTGGGAAGAAGCTAATAGACCCCACCTACACCTTTCTTTCCAGCAGTGTCTACTCCAGATCCCTCCCCCCCCACCCCCACCACCACCATGAAGTTCCCTCTAAAATACAGTTCCCCGAAGCCATGCAAGGCCTTCTTCTCTCTCTGCTGCCTGGCCCTGCTGCCCTGCCCTGAGATTTAACCACACCCAACTCTCCCCTTACTATTCCTAGGGAAGACGCCTGTCATACTTTTCAAGTAATTTTTCCTAGATGACCTTGTCTACTTTAACCCTGACTATCCAACTCAAATCCGTCAGTGCCGATATTCCCTATCTCCCTAGTCTGTGAATGAATAGTCTTGAGGCTTTGTATGTAACCAGCACTAACTAGCATGTCGAACTGAATTCCCAGCATCCAACAAGATTGGGGGCACAGAGCTGCTTTCTGTTTCTCTGCATAACCCTTCCCTCCTTAACACAGCCCAGTGCTCCTCCCCAAAGGGGCAGGTTCAGCCCCAAGAATTGAATCACTTCCTCAAAAAGCCCATCAGTTTGATCCAAATTTTGGATCAAAGTTTGATGAGCTTAAGGGGATTTCACCCACTGACCCCCAAAAGTGTACTGTGCAGCCCAGCAGATGTTGTTTCTTCCCCAGACGTCTGGTGACAAAGGCATCTCTGCCTTCCCTGAATCCGACAACCTTTTCAAATGGGTGGGGACCATCCATGGGGCAGCAGGCACAGTAAGTGCAGGGTGAGGTAGGTGAGTGTGACTTTGCGGGGTCTGGGGGCGGGGCTGGGGTGAAAACCAAGTGCAGGTCGGCGAGACTTTGAGCCTGGTTCGACACGTGCCTGTCCTGTTCTGGTGCTCTGAGCCCGGGGCCCTTGTGTCTCCCTCTGTCCAGGAAGACGTTGGGTTGAAAGCAGGGCTCTCCATCTCAGATGCCTATAGGGGCCCGAACAGAAAGAAGGATGGAGGGTACGTGAGGACTTTGGCCAGTGGGAGGGCACCAGTCTCAAGATGGCAGCTTCCCATTGCTGCAGATCTGGTTAAAGATGGGTCAGAAATCCAGGGGCGCCTGGCTGGCGCAGTCAGTGAACACGCGGCTCTTGATCTCAGGGTTAAACGTTCAAGCCCCGTGTTGGGTATAGAGATTACTTAAAAACAAAACCTTTTTAAAAAAACAAGTTCAGTGTGGCGCCCGAGTGGCTCAGTGGGTTAAGCGGCTGCCTTCCGCTCAGGTCGCGATCCCGGGGTCCTGGGATCGAGCCCCGCATCGGGCTCCCCGCTCGGCGGGAAGCCTGCTTCTCCCTCTCCCACTCCCCCTGCTTGGGTTCCCTCCCTCGCTGTCTCTCTCTCTCTCTCTGCCAAATAAATAAATAAATAAAATCTTTAATAGTAAAAAAAAAAAAAAAAGGTGGCAGCATCTCAAGTGTCCATTCATGGACACAAAAGGGAATATTATTTAAAAAAACAACAACAACAAATTCAGGTGTATGTCTAAAATATCCTGATTTTTCCATGGCAGCAGCTAATGTGGCGGCTGACTAAAGCCCAGCTGTGGTAGTCCTCAGGATAGTCCTCGGGATGCCGGTTTACACCGAAGGATCACTGATGTCCCTACCAGATAGGAGAGAAAGTACCAGAGCCAGTATAACACTTTGTACAAACTTTTGTCAAGTCCCAGGCAAACTCAAAGGTCCTTACGAGCCCTTTACCGGGGCTTGGGTTGGGATATGAGGCTCAGGGTGGGAGGCTCACTCCCGCCCTCTGTTTCTCCAATGCCAGGTGTATGAAGACCTGAGGTATAAGCTCTCCCTGGAGTTCCCCAGTGGCTACCCTTACAACGCACCCACGGTGAAGTTCCTCACACCCTGCTACCACCCCAACGTGGACACCCAGGGGAACATCTGCCTGGACATCCTGAAGGACAAGTGGTCTGCCCTGTATGATGTCAGGACCATCCTGCTGTCCATCCAGAGCCTGCTAGGAGGTGACTTCTGAGACCAGCGCCTCCCCCTGAGACTGGGAACCTGTCGGGACCCCCCAACCCCACCCCCAGCTAGCCTCTTCTCCTACTTAACCATTCTCTTTCTTTCCATCCACAGAACCAAACATTGATAGTCCTTTGAACACGCATGCTGCCGAGCTCTGGAAAAACCCCACAGGTGGGTCCTTCATCCTTCTCGGGCACCGGGTGATCCCTCCCCAGTATTCAAAGGCTCCCTCAAACAGAAGGATCCTGGTGACTTGGGATTGTGTCCCGAGGACTGGGTTGGGGTGGGTGTCAACCCAGATAACCCAGTTCTACCTCGGCCTCGGTGTTTCTGATTTGCCTGTTTGCTGTAAAGTCAGAAAGCTAACTTTCTACATTAATGTAGGTTGAGGGACTTTTTAAGTAGAAAGCAAACTTTGTGTAAATGACTTGCTCACTAAGAACCCCAGTCACCTCCCCAGCATCCCTGGGAGAAGAACCCATCCAGGAGACCTCACCAGGCAGGCCGCAGCAGGAGGATCTGTTGTGTCGGGAAATCCTCCCCAGCTCCCCAGACTTCTCCCACCTTTGTATCCTTGCCTGCCCCCTTGCCCACTGTAACCCTTGTAACCTGATGTTACTGGGTCCCTTGTAACCTGTCCCCACCACTCCCTGAGACCTGCCTGTTCTCTTCCAGCCTTTAAGAAGTATCTGCAAGAAACCTACTCAAAGCAGGTCTCCAGCCAAGATCCCTGACCATCCAGCCTCTCTCTTTGTGTTGTCTTTTTATTTTCTCCTTAGATAGTCTTTCTCTTCATTTCTGTCCAGGACTCTGTATCTTAAGCTGTGGTGTCATTTTTGTTTTGTTTCTGTTTTTTAAATTAAGTCTCCGGTTGAGCCCTTGTGATGAATATATTAAATAAATACATTGGGTTTTTTTTACAAGTTGCTTTGTCGTTACCCCAGGGTTGGGAGGGCTCAGGGTCGGTGGAGTAGAGTCCCAGCTCTTGCCCTGCTCCTCTTCCCAAAGCCTGGAGGCAGCTGACAGGCTGAGCAGCTGAGCAAGGGGGTGATGAGGATTCCTTCCCTTGTGACCTTAGTCATTTTATGACTGCATCTGTTTCCTCCTCTATAAGACGGTGTTACAGAATGCCTTTCTATCGAGTTGTGACATGTACCAGGAATGGTGGTGGATACTGGAGCTCTCCCGGCGGAATACAGATGAGGCTGAACCAGACCTTGAAGCAAAACAGCTGTAGCTGTAGGAAGAGTATATATGCACACCTGGGCGCACAGCAGGGGCTTGGGAGGTGAGGACCAGCCACCTACTCTCTGAGGGGGTGTTCTGGTCCTGAGACGGAGAAAGAAGGCACTCAGGTCACCCTACAGCAGGCCCAGGGTCTGGGAGACAGCCAGGGAACACCTCTTTCCTGCCAGAGAGAGACCCCGGGACAGCTCGACTCAGCCCTTACCCCAGGCCCCCCGAGGAATGGCTCCACACTCCCAGGGAGTACATTCACCTGCTCATCTCCACCAGTGGGTCCTCCAGCTGCTGCACCCACTGGCCCAGGCCCCCAGCCCTGAGGCCCTCCTGACACTGGCCTGCCACAGGCACCAGCAGGGGCAGGCAGGGGAGAAGAGCAGGCTAGGGGGGCACCTGGGTGGCTCAGTTGGTTAAGCAACTGCCTTCGGCTCGGGTCATGATCCTGGAGTCCCGGGATCAAGCCCCGCATCAGGCTCCCTGCTCAGCAGGGAGTCTGCTTCTGCCTCTGACCCTCCCTCCCCTCATGTTCTCTCTCATTCTCTCTCTCTCAGATAAATAAATTTTTTAAAAAATCTTTAAAAAAATAAAAAGAAGAGCAGGCCCTGATCCAGTCCCGCAAGATCTCCAGGGTGGACAGACACAACAGCCAGGTGCCCTCCAACATGGCCTGGGGGGAGGGGGAGGAAGACAGTAGTGGAGGGCATCAGGAACGTTCTCACCTTCCTTTTGCTCCTGCCAGCCCAGGCTCCTTTCCTGCCCTGTGCCCCCACTGAGCAGGGGCAGTGGCAGGCAGGGAAGAAGTGGCCTGGCGGGTCTGGGATGGGATTTGGATGACCTCCCCGAGTCCTTCTCCTGAGGTGCTGTTAGCTCTCCCCTGGGGGTTTGGAGCAGTGCTGCTCAATCCAAGGTGCAGATAAATCGGCCAGGGGTCTACCCCAAATGCAAACTTGCATTCAGTCAGTCTGGGTGGGGCCTGAGGTCCTACCTCTCTCTAGAAATTAAAGGTGTAGAGCGGTGTTCTCAAGGTGTGGCCCTTTCACCTGGAACGTGGTAGAAATGCAGAGTCTTGGTCCCAACAAGCTCTCCAGGATTCTGATGCCCTCTCAACGTTGAAAACCCCTGGCTAGAGGATGTCCAGGAAGAGGGAGCTCAGAACCTGGCACTAGTGGTTCTTACTGGATGCTGGCCAAGGTAGGCGGACCTTTTTGCCTGCCTTAAGATGCCTCTCCACGTGGTCTTTGATCAAAGTGTTTGACACACACACTCACACACACACACACCCCGAGGATGGCCACATGGCCTGCCTTGTGTCAGACCCAGGGACTGACTGTAGTTCAGAACCAAGCAGAGTGTTCCTCGGAATTAAATTCCTGGCAGAAAGTAGAATTCTTTTACTAATAGGGTTGCTAAAAGGGGAGGGAGTCTGGGCAGCGGTGCAGACAGCTGCAGATGGAAGAAAGTCAAGCAGAGACGAGTAGCTAGGAAATGGAGGTGACATTGAGACTCTGGCCTCCAGCTGGGACGCCTTAATATCCCAGTTTCATGAGCCAGTAAGTCCCTTTTTAGTTTAAGTCTTGTTTGCTTTAGGTTCCAGTACTTGCAACAAAAAGAAGCCTAGTTCAGTAAGTTTTAGAAGGTATCATTGTTCCCATTCACCCCATAAAATTACTGAGTGCCTACAAAGTAAAAGCCCTATGCTTGGGGCTGGGGATCAAGCAGGGGAAAGAACACGGTCCTGTCCTCAGAGGCTGAAGTTCAGGGGGCAGACAAGCATGTCAGTGGGGTAGAGTAAGTGCCATACAGAGGGGTGGTGAAGAGCTCAAACCCAGCAGTCCCCACACCACCCCCGTGCTACTTGCCTACACTTAGACTTAACCTCTCTGTAAAATGGAAATATTAGTAGCTACTTCATAGGCTAGATGGGCCTTGGAATAGTGCCTGGTGTACCGGGTAATAAATGTCACCTGCTAGTCTCACGTGTTACAAGAGCTCAGAGGTGGGGTGCCTAACGACGACCAAGAGGGTCAAGGAGGACTTTCTGGAGAAGGAGATGGAGTATGGAACACTGGCAAAGTAGCCTGGAAGTCAGGTCACATAGGTCGTGTAAGGCCTTTCAATTAAAGGCCTTTAAAATGCAGGGTTTTACCTTGAGGCAGCTAATGCAGCCTGGAGTAGGGCAGGGATGTGATCAGCTTTGGTTTCAGAAAGCTGCTTCTGGCTGCCGCCGGGGGAGTAAATGGCAGGGACGTTAACTACCTTCCCAGCAACGTGGTGAGCAATGGCGGGCGGCCTGAGCCACAACACCGAGTGGGCTCAGAGAGGAGGGATAAGGGTAAGGGGACAGAAGGAAAGTAGCAGGGCAGAGTAAATTACAAGCGGCAAGGGGGCTCCAGAACCCCTAGCTTAGGCCCATCCCTCAGGGTACCATCTCTGAGATAAGGGAGCACTGGAGAAGATGGTGAGGGATTTATCAGCTTCGGGCAGGACCAGTCTCAAGCACTCAGCACACAGGTAGAACAGTCAACAGGTACATGGGGCCACGGTTAAGAGCCTTGCTCTTGTTTCCACCAAATGTCCGCACCCCTGGCTACATCACCTCACTCTGCCTTGGTTTCCTCCACTGTAAAATGGGGAGAACACTATCCGACTGCCTCGAAGGTTGTTTGTACGAATGAGCCCAGCCTGCAAGGCACAGGGCCCAGCACACGGGAAGCAGTCCTAGTGACGAGGACTGATCCCGGCTGGAGATAAAAACTGGGGAACATGAATGGCTCAGCGAGGAGAGCCGAGAACACAAAGGACTTGGAGAGGGAGGACTGTGGCAAAGAATAACAGTACAGGCCAATGTTTCAAGGTGATAGTAGTGATATTAATAATAGCCTTTATTAAGTGCTTAGTATGTGCCACACTCTGTTCTAAGCGCTCTGCATGGCACACACTAACTCGTTCTCACAACCCTGCAAGGTAGGTACTGTCATTATCCCCATTTTACAGAACAGGAAACCGAAGCACAGAATGGTTTGTCACCAGCAATGACGATTCAAACTCTAAAAGCGAAATCACCACTGCACTGCGTTAGCTTGGCCCTGATGCCTGCTCTAACTGATGATGGTGTGTGCAAAGAGCTCTGGAAGCCAGTGGGAGCAGGGATCAAGGGACAAGAGGGTATCTGAGCTGGGTTGAGAATTTCGCCAGGCTTATTAGAGGAGGAAGGGCATTCCAAGGAGGGAGAACAGCATAAGCAAAAGCCCAAAGGCTTGAAAGCGCACCCCCACTGTCCAGAGCAGGAGCGATAAATTGCCCAGTGTGGCTGGAACCCGAGACGGGAAGGAGGGGAAAGGAATTTGGACTTGATTCTAGAAGCAAAGGGAGCCTTGAAGGTCTTTCAACAGGGGAGTAGCCAGATCAGATTTCTTTTAGCTAGATCATGCTAATGGGCCCTGTGTTGAGGGCATTGGCCTGAGCTGGAGGCAGGGATCCAGGGTGGAGATGATGACGTCAGAACTTCCTTCCTGCCTTTTTTCCGCACCCCCCCCCCCCCCGTCCCATCTCCTGTATGGAGCACCTAGAAACGCCCAGAACAGACGAAGTAGAAAAAGTCAAGCAGGAATGAATGCTGCCCAGAACGGATGAGAACGATGCTCACTTTCCCATCCCCAGCCCGGTAGCCTGCACCCAAGACCCAAAGGCTCCAGGGCCGCCTGGGTGGCTCAGTTGGTTAGGCGACTGCCTTCAACTGGGGTCATGATCCTGGAGTCCCGGGATCGAGTCCCGCATCGGGCTCCCTGCTCAGCGGGGAGCCTACTTCTCCCTCTGACCCTACCCCCTCTCATGTACTCTCTCTCTCTCAAATAAATAAATAAATCTTTAAAAAAAAAAAAAAAAAAAAAGACCCAAAGGCTCCAGAAAGGAAGGACGGTGGGGAAGCAAAGGAGCCTCACCTCGGCATCCCCGGGGTTCCAGCCGCCTGCAGCGCCCTCACCCTACCCTCCATCCCCTGCACCCTCACCCCGACAGCTCCAAGCCCGCACCACCCCCACCACCCCCCCACCCCCGGCCTCCCTCCTCCAGCACCCGGCGCCACCGAAGCCCCTTCGGCCGAGCTGTCCACGCCCAGCTCCAGCTGCCGGGAACCCGCCCAGCTCGTCGGCGCCGCCAGGGCTCCTGCGGCTCGGTGCGTCCCGCAGCTCGGATCCCCCCTCCTCGGAGCCCCGAGGCCGCTCGGGTGGCGCCCTGGAAGGCGACCCAGTCAGGAGGGCCCTAACACCCACACCCACCCCCTCTCCTCCTCTCACTCGGGCTACGCGCTTTGCGGTGTCTGCTTTTATTCCCTCCGGACACAGAGCCAGCAGGGGCCGCGCCTCCCTCTCGGGGCGGAGAAGGGGACGGGGCAGGTGGGGACGGGAGCGGCACCGCCCTCACCCGAGGGACGCGCGGTCTGGGCGGAGGCGAGGGCGACTTCTTACTGCACGCCTTCCATCATCTTCAGGAACTCTGCGGGGACGAGGAGGGGGAGCGTAAATCGCCCGGCGCCGGCGGGAGCTCCCCACCCTGCCCACCAAGCCACGGACGGCCGCGTGGCGGCCACGCCCCGGGCGTTCCGCGTGGCCCCGCCCCCCGCCGCGCTCCCGCGGGCCTCACCGTCGAAGTCAATGCGGCCGTCGTTGTTCTTGTCACCGTCTTTCATAAGGGATTCGATCTCCTCGTCTGTCACGTGCTCCCCAGAGGCCCTGAAAATCTCAGCCAGCTCTTCCGCATCGATGTAGCCGTCTGCGTTCCTTCGGGGCGAAGCGACAGGGTAGGACGCAGGGCGGGCAAGGGCGAGTCGCCCTGGCCACGGCGACGCCCCCTCCCGCACCGGCGCGCGGAGAACCGAAGCGCCCCCCGCCGGCGGGACTCGCCCAGCTCAGCGCCTTCGCGGCTCCCAGGCCCCCAGTGCACCTGTCAAAGATGCGGAAGCACTCGGCCAGCTCCTCCTCGCTCTTCCCCTTCGCATCCTCTTTCATCTGGCGCACCATCATGACCAAGAACTCCTCGAAGTCGATGGTGCCGCTCCCTGAGGGGAGCAGGCGGTTGAGCGAGCCTCGGCCCTGCGTGCCCACCTCTCCCCACCATCGCAGCCCCGCCGCGGAGGACCACCTGCTCACCGTCCTCGTCCACCTCCTCGATGATGGCGTCCAGCTCCTCTTTGGTGGGTGTCTGGCCCAGCATCCTCATCACCGTGCCCAGCTCCTTAACGCTGATGTCCCCGCCACCATCAGCGTCAAACATGTCGAAGGCAGCCTTGAACTCTGGAAGAGGCAGAGGACAGAGGTGGGCCTGGATGGACGGTCAGCCTCACACCTTCTCTCCCACCTTGCCCAGACACGGAACACTGCCCAGCACACCTCCGCCCGGCAGCCAGCCCTCCCACCTGCACTCCTGCACTCACCAGCGATCATCTCCTCGCTGAGGTAGGACCGGGCCTCCGCCTGCTGGTCCGTCTGCAGAAGACACAGAATCAGAGGGCAGAAGGGGCGGCCCCAGAGCTCATTCTTGCGTTAACCCCATTCTCTTCAACCCCCTTCTGTCAGTGCCCTTTGGTCTTCCAGAAAAACGATCCCAAACCAGCAACACCTTCTGCATGCTCCTACAGCACCTGACCCCAGTTTTGAAGAACTAGGGAGGAAACACAGATTATGCCCATGGTCTTCAAACTTGCTAATCAGATGTCAAGTCAGGAACCTCCCCCCACCCCCCCTACCCCTCCACCCCCGCACCATTAACCTCGGGCAAGTCGCTGATTCTACCCTATCTCTTCTCAGCAGCTTTTCAGGGATGAGATGACATCAGGGATGTAAAAGGGTTTTGTATGGTGCCAGCACTCTTGCAGCGTCATTTCCCAGTTTTCCCTAGCTCCCAGCAGAGCCTGGCTCTGTAACAGGTGCTCAACAAATGTTTGTTCTCAAATAAATAATAATGCAAGGCAAAGTCATTGAGCACCGGCTAGGTGTCAGGCCAGAGACTGGGCACTGAGACCAAGAAGATTGAGACACATCATCCCTCCCCTCCAAGAACTTGTGGAGATGGAGATTTTAAGCTTCCTTCTTATCATTCAGCCATTGGAGTAAATACTACTCGTGCTGGGCAGAATATGATGGGGGGCCTGGTGGAGGTGAAAATAAGATTTCGGGGGAGGGGATCCAGCCACATCTAAGCCAAGCCATCTGGCTATGGGGCTTTGGACTGAGGTTGGTGGGGAGGAGGGGCTGAGGTGGCCAAGGCGTTCTTCGACCGGCTGACCGCCGCCCGCCTTCTTGCCCTCCCCTCCTCCCTCCTCCTTGCCCGTGCAGGAGGACAGGCTATTTTTAGCTTGGCATGGGCAACAGCAGCTGTCCTCCAGGGTCTAGTTACCCCTTGAAGTGAAGTGGGGAAGGGGACCTCAGGGGAAATGACAGCCCCAGATTAGGACCCCTCTCTGGGAGGCCGGGTTCTCTCTAACCTTGGTCTGTCATCTTCTGCCCCGTCTCTTCACCCTTGGAGCTCTTGGGATCCTGCACCTTAGCTGGCTTGAGACCCTGCAGGCCCCCCTTCTTCCAGACAAGTCTTCAGGAGAGTTTGGCAAGGCTTCTAGCCCACCCCTGCCACTGGCTTGCTAGGTGACTCACTGTGGCCCTCAGGGTCCCCCCCTCTACGATGAGGGAGACAAGCTAGGACCCCCTCCCCTCACGGCTCCATAACCAACACTGCCGAAGCCTCGGGTCTGCAGGGAGTCAGCAATCCCCGGAACCCCCCAACCCCTCCCCTTCCTAGAGAAGTCCAAGGCCTTCTTCCCAGGCGTCCCCCTAGACATCTGGGCTCCAGGAGCCTTCATGTTCCATCTTCAAACGTCCAATTACTGAACTACAGAGCACCCAGATCTGGCCTGGAAGAGGTCCAGAAGTGCTCCAGCAAGCAAAGTGATGAAGTCCCTTCTTGTCCTTACCATGGTTGCTAGTCCCAGGGCCTCCTCCACTGCAGGTCACCTCCTCAGCTCTCCACCACCCAAAGATGCCTTGGCCTGCTCCAGCCCCTTGGATTTGTAGGGGGCACCCTCTCCTCCCACCTCCCTGCTCCCCAGGACTAGTTGCCCTGGCCAATCAGATCCTGGGGTCAGCGAGCGCCTCCCCCCCCCCCCCCCGCCCACCCCCATCCCAGAGTCCTAGCCCATTACCTAATTTAGCCAAGGGCCCTTGCAGAGAAATTTAAGCCTCTGAGCAGGTGGCAGGCCTTAATGTCCTAGATTCTTGGGAGGAGAACCCGCCCTGCTCCACTGCCTTAGGGAGCCCCTGCTCAAGGAACACGCTGGCTCCAAGATGGGTGAGGACAATCGGAATCGAGAAAAGTGAAGCAGCATGGCAGACGGGGAAGAGCACAAGCCTTGAAGTCTGACACCCAAGATCCAGATCCTGTCTCTGCAAGCAGTGCACTCTTAGGCAGGCGACGTGCCACTCTGAGCTTCAGTTTCCTTCTCTGAGAGGTGGAGATGGGGACAGTCATGACCTCCCTCACAGACAGACCATGGGAAATGGGGGCCCAGCTACAAGTCACCCAACTTGTGCCCACTCCATAGGGTTGGTGCTTGGCAAGTGGAACGTCCTGTCTTTGAACCGTGGTAGAGGGGAGGGGAGGGGAGGAGGGCAAAGTGACAGCCACGGTCATTGAACCTCTAGGACAAGCCACACTCTATGTTAAGCATTTTAACCACGTGATGTCACCTAGATCACCCCATCCCATGAGGGAGAAGCTAGGATTATTCCCTTTTTACTAGGGGGCTTTGTAAATCATAAAGGCCTCTAGTCATGTCAGTCATTCTTTTTTTTTTTTTTTTAAGATTTTATTTATTTATTTGACAGAGAGAGACACAGCGAGAGAGGGAACACAAGCAGGAGGAGTGGGAGGGAGAAGCAGGCTTCCCACTGAGCAGGGAGCCTGATGCAGGGCTCAATCCCAGGACCCTGGGATCATGACCTGAGCCAAAGGCAGACGCTTGACGACTGAGCCACCCCGGTGCCCCATGTCAGTGATTCTTATTAATCCTGAAGGGAAGTTGGGACAACCCTTGAGGGGACCTGTCCAAACAAGAAATCTAGGGAGGGGTACAGGAGATGGGTATGCAGTCGGAGGAGAAATAAAGTTGAAAGCAGATCTTCCTCTCAAGTTTACCTTCTCCAGGAAAAGGGTGTTTGGGATTCTTTTTTTTTTTTTTTTTTTTGAGGGAGAGGGGGATTAGGGGCAGGTTCTCTGGGTGAGTAAAGGGGCAGCCGGCCCCTTCCTAGAGCTTGGTGAAGAAGTCCGGAGCAGCTCAGCTAGCCATCTGGAGAGTGAAGGGATGGGCAGAGCAAGTCCAGTCCGAAGGGAGCCCATCCCGCAAATCCACAGGGTCCAGGCTGGGTGTTGGAGAGGTAGGCGATGCTGTGGACAGTGGCTAAGTCAACAGAAAGAGCATGAAGACAACTGAGCGCAGAGCCTGGGGCCAGTGAAAGGAGGCTGGATTCCAAGGAAGGTAGACGGACAGTGGCAGCTGGGCTGCCATCTTTCTCTATTTATAGACATTCCCAAGAAAAGCTCAGTGGAGCTAGGCCAGGCTACATAAGGCCTCCGCCGGCCGGGCAGCCAAGGGGCAGCAACACCAGGGGAGTCCAATTTGGATGTGAGCCCTGGAGCCACCAATGATTCCTTTGAAGCAGAGAACTTGGAACCCTCAGCAATCATTTGTTCATTAATTTGTTCTTTCATTTATTCAGGAAAATAGATAAGGTCCAAATTTATCTATTCCCTTTAACCACTCCAACCTCCATCCCTTCCCTCCCCATCCTGCATGCTGCTCTGCTCTGGTCAGACTAAAATACAGCTCCAAACAACACCCTGT